AAGGAGGGCATTTTCAGGAAGGGTTTTTAAAGCTAAAGTGCCTTTCAGTAATAGCCACGAGAAGCTAAACACACACTTCTGCACCTTTGTGTCAAGATAGAAGACTGATATAGAAATTTCAGTTATCAAACTGGCCAGAAGCCCCATAGCCCAAATTCAAGATTTAAAATGACTTGAAAGCAACAATTTAATTCCAGATATAAGATCATGGTTACACTTGAATCAAGATTGATAATGGTTAAGGATAAGGAAAAAGGCACTAAGTTTTCCCTTTGCATCTTTTAAAATTTGCTCTGTGTGAAACATAACTAATATATTATGGAATAATGTTCGTGAACTTTAGTTTTTATATACATGATGACATAAAGAGTCATTGTTCTAATCTGGATATCAGGTGAGAATTCTGCCATTTGGATTGAATCAGGGGCCACCTGACCAAGCCCACCACATGACGAGGTTTCCCTGAGAAACCTCTACTGACTGCACAAGAACATTTGGGCGCCTGTTAAGAATATAAATTCTCAGGCTGCACTCAGACCTGCTCTACCAGCGTCTCTGCGGGTTTAATAAACTCTCCATTTGATTCTCATGCATGCTAAAGATTGAGGATATTGAAACATAAAAGCAAATGTCCACATTTCTGTACTCATTAATAGCATATTTAATTATGAGAGTGATGATATAAAGAAGAAATATCCAGCAAATGAATTTTCAATTCTGTTCAATCTTTACACATGGTACACACCGTCTTTATGTTGCAATCAGAAAATGTGCTTCTGCTATAGGCTGGGAAGTATCATATTAAGAGCAGTATAAACAGAACTACTAATTTGACCTATATTTCAAGGAAACCTTTTATTTCCTACCTTGTTCATTTCTAGATAATATAACAGACAAACGGCACACGGAATATCATTAAGAACTAGCTAGATTACATCATCTGTGCCTCGCTACTTTTCTTAAAGAGAGCGAAGATGTTAGCCAACATTTATATTCATTCTCATCAGATCTAATTTCTTCTTCAAGGCTTGTCTTTTTCCCGAAGTGGTTCAATAGAAGATAAGAGTTGCTGAAACGTGGGACGCTTTTCTGGAAGCTAAATTAAAACAACAACAACAAAGCAATGGTTTAGTTTATGAAGGTTGTGATTAAAGATAAAATATATAAAATATGTATTCCTCAGTCCTAAAGCTAGCGACTTTAAAAATGTGGAAACACCACAGACATTTCCACTAAAGAGAAAACAATTACAGCTCTAGGAATTGAAAAAGTATCTTTAGTGGCCTAAGATGTGATTGTATACGTGGAATAATGAAGACAGTCAATGATAAAACCAACTCAAATAATAAAGGAATTCACCAGGAGAGCAGTATATAAAATTAATATGCAAAATCAGTAGCCTTCATATATAAGTACAATAACGAATTAGAAGATATAATGGAAGAGAAACCCCATTCTCAGCAGCAACAACACCAAAATAAAATATTTACAAAAACGTATCCCCAAATGAGGAAAACTTTAAAACACTGTTGAAACATATAAATTAGACTTGAATGCATAGAAAAACATGGCTTGTTCTCGAATAGGACAAATCATAAAGATGTCAAATTTCTCAAGTTAAAACATAAAATAGATACAATCACTTTATAAACTGATTTTTAAAATCAAGGCAAGAGAAAACAAAAACCTGATAGAAAAAAGAGGCAAAATAAGACACATAATTCTCAGAAAGATATACAAATGCCCTTAAAAATATACCTCTCTCCTAATGAAAGAGGGACACATGAAAGCTGCACTAAATGCCATTTCTTATCTAGCGGATTGGCAGAAATTCAGAAGTTTGACAATGGTCTGTGTAGCAAAGTGGGCTCTTTGCTAGAGGGTCAACAGCTGCGGAGAGAAATTTGCTACTTTTTTGGTAAGAAACACACACATATACTCACATGCTTATTTTTGTGCAAAGAAGTATGAGAAAGATAAATTGGAATGTTTTTTCAAAAGTCTCAAAATATATAAAAGGGGGAGACTAAAATGTACAAAATGCTCACTCTATGCAGAACTTTCATCGGGATTGTGCAAATCCCTCTCAATGGATTTTGGCACAATTCACATACTTTTAAGGATCAGCTGTGGGAAGGAGGCAGTTTCTTCCTGTCAGGACCCCTGTCCAGCAGATGGTATCGTCCTAGGCCCAAGAGCTAGAGCAAGGAGGGCCAGGGAGGCCTGGGCTTCACCACAAAAACCCTCGTCTGCTCTTCTCCATCTGACAGGTGATGGCAAGAAGTCTTGTACTTGTCTATGTTTCTATTGCACATGTATAATTATAAGCTGCTTGATGTTTTCAGTGTGTGTGTGTGTGTGTGTGTGTGTGTGAAGACTGCGTTTGGCAAGAGCAAATCAATCCCTTGCCATTTCAGCTCTATGTCTAACCCAAAAGAGACTCTTATTTTCTACCCACATGGAATGCTTTTACTCAACATTTGGGAGACATAAGAAGAGAGGATGGAATCGGGTCCATTATGTTTTCTCTACATGTGGTTAGATATTCTCCGTTTCACATTTTCCACTCGAGTAGAGACCCCATAGTGTGGTTAAGAACAGGGGTCCCGACACTAGCCAACCTGCCTCGTACTAGCTATGTGACCTTGGACAAGTCACTTAACCTCTCTGAGTCTCTGTTTCTTTTGTTAGTTTTAGCTTTGATAATACTACCGAGCTCATAGTGTGTTTCTTGATTAATCAATGAGTTAATATTTATGAAGTTCTTAGAACAGTGCTAAACATAAGTTGTTAAATTGTTGGCACCAGCGTTGCTTGTTTTAGATTACAAACAGTTGAGCGCAGAGGCCCGGGGCCATTTCTATCTGATCTATAGCAGGTGCCTCCCCTCCAAAATGCATTGTCTGGCAGTAATGCGGCCACCAGTTTCCCCAGGTGGTGCACTTGCCTCATGCCAGCAGCTGTACATGATCTGGTAGACCGTGTCCGACGCCAGTTGGGGCCGGTAGAGCCTGTGGCCCTGGGAGACCTTCACGACCACCTGGGAGTTATCGTACAAGTCATAGGGCTGCTTCCCCAGGCTGAACACTTCCCACATCAGGATCCCTGCAGCACATGGAGGGGCGGCCGGCAGACGGCAGGGAAAGAAAGCGGATGTCAGAAGGTACAGAATTTGATGAATGAATATTACACACATGCCAGGTCAGGAAGGCTACGGGTCAGAGCGAAGGCGCCTTGGGAAATGAGTCCTAGCAGAAGGGACAGACTGTGGAGAGTGGGTCTGCGCCATCCTCTCCAATGCCTAGGTCCTCTCTTTTGTGTTTCCTGAGACCCAGAAGCCCATTCTTGCTGGTAAACGGGTAAATGGCAAGGGCAGCTGCAGAGGGAGCTACTTAGGGCCCAGCCCCTCAGGCTGCTTCAGAGAAGTGTCTGGGGCTTCGGTCAAGCCACGAACGATCCGGCTCCAGCACTCAGGAGTGATCGACTGAAGCCCTCACTCTCCCCTTCTCTCTTCCTTGGCTGTTTTGTGCAATCATTTCATTGCACAGTCAAATTATCTCTCAGTGAAAATTTAAAGATAAAATCATTGACAGCATTTCTCCTTTTCTTATCAACACAGTGGGTCATAATATTTTGTGGGTCAGGTTTCCTTTTGGGAATCTGATGAAAGCCATTGGCTCTCTCTCTCGGGAAAATGAACACACAGCATTTGGGTGTTTGATTTCTGGCTGTCCACTGTCCCCCATCCAGGGCGTCGTGGACTCTAGGTTAAGAAACTGCGTTCTGGTCATGGTGGTCAAGAGACGGGCATTTGGGGTCAGTTAGACGTGGCCCTTGAGGCCCCCTTCGACCATTAGGGCAAGTTTCTTACCCTTCTCAGTCAGGGTCCCTGTCTCTAACATGAGGATATTTGCACATCATAGAGTTATTGTGAGGATTAAATAGGATAAAACACCCAGAGCACTTAAAAGAGCACCGGGCATTTTAACTACTCTCTAAACGGTGGCCATTTTTCTGTCATACTGGCCAAGCAAGAGAATTTCAACACTTAGCCAGCTTCGAAAACTTAGAAAACCAGAAATATGTAACAAGGAAGAAGTTTGTTCTGGAATCATAACTGAAGTATTGCCTTCAACTTCTTTGACATTTAGAGCTACAGATTTTATGAACAATGTTTACAGTAAGATAATATTACAAGTTGTCGTGGCTGTATTTTAAAAAGAAACTGAACTTTCTAAAACAACCATTCAAAAGTGTGTTGCTCCCTTCACGACTCTGTCTTTGGAAGGCTATTCACTTATCTCGAGAATAATTTCATTGCTTAAATTATCTGTGCAGCTCCTCTTTGAGAATTACTTGCAGAGGCCCTGGTTCATTTTGAATATACTTATTGGGACACATTTCAGAATGGATTTAGTTTTTGGAAACAGCCAAAAAATAACAGGAGCCAAGTTCTGGTGCATAAGATAAGTAATCAAACTAGGTAATGCAATTTTTAGCTCAATCACAAGGTGTAAGTATTGAGTAGGCATACTGATTTTTTAAAATATCTTTCATAAGTTTCGTATCAACTGAAACAAGATTGAAACTAATTTTGACATGGTAATCAGCACAAAACAACATCAAATATTCACCAAAATGCTATCTTTGTGGTTTTCCCTTTTTCTATATACATCGAATTATTTTTTTTTTTACAATGAACAATACCACTTTTACAAAAGGAATAATTATTTTAAAAAATCGTGTCATATAGAAAAATATATGGCTAAATTTTGCTTTTTTGAGGCAATCTCATGAATGTCATGTAGAAAGTCAATTTATGCTTAAGAACCAAGATAAGCATGAAATGAGTCTCAGCTGAATTTAATATATTCTATAACTATAATTTGGATCATTTTACCTAGGTTCATCTGACAGTGATTGTAAATAGGCTTGACATTCCTCACGATGTAGAAAATTATCAGAAAATCTACCAAATCCCAATTTAGAATTATTTCTGTTTCCTAATTATCTTTACTAAATTTCAATATAGATCTTTTAATAAAATAGAGGTCAGTGAACTTTTTTCTATAAAGGGTCACACAGGAAGGCTTTTAGGATTTTTGGGGTCATGCGATATCTGTGACAAATATTGTGCTCTGCTGATGCTGCACAAAACCAGCCAGAAACAAGACAGAAAGGAATGGGCATGACCATGTACCGGTAAAACTTGAGTTACAGAAATGGGCCACTGGATTTGGTCCTGAACCATGGTTTGCTCACTCCTGATCTAAATGATGAATTTTAACAAGGGCACTAGTTGAAACTTGTATGGGCCAAAGAGAATGCTGAGTCATGTTTGGTTTTGACAACAGGCATGCCTCCCAAAATTGGTCAATGCACAAAAAAAAAGTCATCATGGCTGCTATCATGCCGAAGGTCTATGACTCCATTGTAAACCCTTCAACGTTTTGGACTTCACGCAAACTCAGTTTTAGTTCCCAATGACTCCTTCATAAAAACTGTTGAAAAATCTTCAGTAGAAGAGCTTTTATGAGATTTTATGAGAAGGTACTAGCAGGATGCAAATTATACAATATGTGGCAGACATCCTAACACTGACCCAATAAAGGATCATCTCTTCTATCTCTTGCTCATCACAGGCCATACAGATAATTTTGTAAGCGCGCAGGGCTTTTGCTAAAAATGGATGTTGCTGCTCTTTGTGGTTTCCTGTTGTGGAAGCCAGCTTGCAAAATGGGGCTGGGGCCTGTGTGGCCACATTCTTACCGAACGCCCATATGTCTGACTTGCTGCTGTATTTGAAGTAGTGAAACACTTCTGGGGCTGACCACTTGACCGGAAACTTTGTTCCTACTGAACTGACATACTGATCATCAAGAACATACCTGTGGGGGGAAACATCAACACAGACCTTAAGCTGCTTGGCTTGGCAGAATGGGAAGACCTCTGCTGGCCGCCATTGCCTCGTGGCGGTACAGGCTGATGAAGGACAGAGAGGCAACCAGTCTCAGCCGAAAGCTTGGGTGTTCTGCATCTTTTGCTTCCTTTCAATGTATATGCTTAGCTAGAGGCTGATTACGACTTGTAAGCTTTAAAAAATGATATCTAACTTTGAAAATACCAAAATCTGAATGCAAACTGTTTGGTAAATAGAGAAAAACACAAAAATGTAAAAATAAAATCATTCAGAATCCCACCCCAAAGACAACCTGTAATTCTACCACGCAAGATACATTTTGCCTTATACTTTCCAATCTTTTTTCTATATATAATTTGTACAAAATTGAGTTTCTGTCATATTGAGGTTTGCTTTTATTTTTCCTTTAATGGCATATCGGGAACATTTTCCCTATATGGTTACATTTTCTTCTGTAGCATCCTATTTAATGGCTGAATTCCTGCTTATGGATTAGCATAATTTGTTTAACCATGCTAATGGCTTCTAACCATCTGCTATTATAAACAACAGTGGACAACAATATCCTATGAAGATATCAAGACCATAAAAATATATGTTCAAGGATATTCACTACACTCTTGTTTATAATAATGATTAAAATGGAAACAGTCTTAACATCCACATTTTGAGAAGTGATTAAATATAATATGGTACATTAATACAATAGACCAATAGGCAGCTATTTAACAATGAGATCGCTCTATATTTACCAAAATGAAAAGATGCCCATGGTATATGGTTATGTGCAAAAGAATAGATCTATAATGTGATTCCATTATTTTTTTGGAAACAAACAGTAAGTGCACTTGTGTTACGATTGAGTATACTTAGGAATAAGGTGTAGAAAGACAAATGTGTTAGCAGTAGGTACTCTTAGTGCTAAAATTGGGGTGAAGGGGTATGGGCCAAATTCTCCTTTTGACTTTGCTATATTTCTTATAATAAGCATATACTATGTATATAATGAATAGAGGGGAACCCCATGTCTTTGCCCACAAAAACAAATAAATAATGACTCATAAATAGGAAAATGAAATAGGAAAATAAGATAAGGAAATGAAAATTATGGAAACAAATTTTGAATACAATTTATAGGAAAACTTTACATACTAAAATATGTTAGAGATATTTAATATAAAACATCAGAGAAAGCTGGTTTGGCAAATTATTCTTTGAAACATTAGTAATAGTAATAATAAATAACACCTTCCTAGGATTACATATTGCAGCTTCCATACTTCCCTCCCCAGGCCTCCTCAGCTCCTCAGACACCACAAGACACCCAGAAACTACACTGGCACCCCTGACTGGGGTCTGCTCACAGTTTAACTCTTCCTTCAAGTCATCAGGACCAAGTTAAGTCATAGACATCTGAATGATGTGACAGAGCTTTGTGACCAAAAGGATGGGGTGCGTGGCCTCTAGGATCCCTTATTCAGAGCAAGACCTTGTGTCCCATTTTCTGAAGGGACAAAGAACTTGAGGTATATTCTGGATGCCACCATAACAGTCAATATTCCAGCTTCGAGAAAAAGGTGGGTGTAAGTTCTTCTATTCTGAGAACTTCTAATGTCAGTGCAGGTGACTCAGTATATGGTGGTTGGAGTGATGGCAAGTAGCACACAGCTAAAGGGACACCTTGCCAATATTGAGGGGTCCCAGAAGAGGAGCACTTCCTAATACTGAATTTTGGAGACTTAAAAAAGCAGATCTTCCTATGGTGTTTTAGGGCCATGCTTGCTAAATCCAGAGCTGGCCTTGGTCAATTCTTTAGATCTCTTTGCAACGGCATCATTCCTCCTCACAATTATATGAGTTTATGTTGAGTCAGCACAACTTTTTAGCTGTATTTTGTCTCAATGTCAGGGACACCTACTTGCCTCTAGAATAACTGCAGGCATTTTGAAGGCAGGGCCTATCCCATTCATATCAATATCTGCCACGAGACCTAGGCATTTAGTAGAAACTCGATAAATGATGATTGGAAAGGTGAGCATGTATGTTTTCATTTCCTATGCAAAATCGCGGAAATTGGCTTTGAGGTTTAAATAGTATGAGGACTCAGAATCAGGAAATGGAACACTTTTTAAAACTGCTATCGTAATCAAAACAATTTCTCCTAATCATGAAGTGGTGATAGAACACCCACCAAGAGAATCTCAGAGTCTACCGTCATGCCTTACTTGGTGATAAAGAAAAAAACGTGACGATGAAAATTTTTCCTAGTGTTAACATTCTACCCATTTGCACATATATTAAGAAAAAACACAGACAGGGCTAGAGGAGACTTGGTTGAAAATGTGTATAATATTTATCCAAATAATCTGGCTGTAACATGTTATATTTAAATACTTCGGATCTTTCATGGAATTTATTTGTAAGTTTAGAAAATATTTATCAGGGTGTTGAACTTAAAAGGACCCTGGATAATTTTCAAAGTACAGTCTCATCTTACAGGTGAGGAAATGTGGTAAAATGTTTCATAAGTTGTCATAAGTGGTAGTATGGAGGGGGGATCCAGGTTTTCAAGTCCCCAGTTCAAAGTGCCCAAAAGGTCTTCACTTACGATGGCATTTAGGTGTGAATCGAAAGACCCCTCTCATTGGTTGCCCCTTTGGAACTGGCTTACCTTGTCATTCCAAAGTCAGATACTTTCACAGAGAGATCACTGTCTACCAAGCAGTTCCGAGCAGCCTTTGGAGGAAAAATCAAAATTACCAAGTAGTAAAAGTGACCGTGAATCTCTTGACATCAGAATCTGGCATTTTCCTTCTCCTCAGTAGAATTCTCAGCAAAATCTAAGATTGCCTATCAAAAGCCCAAATGTTGGAAATTTGTCTTTTTTTTTTTCCTTTGCAACTTCTCAAAATGAAAATGTGATCCCATATGTATTTTCACCCAGGCATCCATCCTTGTCAACACATTAAACATAAAAACTTAGTTCATCAATGAGAAGGGAAAAATCAGTTCTAGGGGCTCCCTCTTCAGCACTAGGATACTGTGCAGTGACAGGCGCTCTAAAGGCATAAATGTGGCACCAGAGACTCAGAAGGCACTTGCCTAGAGTGTGTGTGGAGTGTTTGCTGTTCAGCACAAGAAAACCTCTTAAAGGTAAATATCAGTGCATACCAAGCAGAACACTTCCGCCTCCCACTCTGACCGAAAGACACAAGTTTCATTTCTTTCTGGTTTTTGTTTGTTTCTTTTGTATTTTCAGTTATTGTATTAAATGACTGTTTTAGCACTGTGCCATTCCTGGAGTAAAGGTCAACTTGAGTTTAATTGTTCCAAGAAACACTAAATTGACCAAAGCCTTTCCTTTCCACCTCTTTTCCTTCAAACCACAACACAACTACATAAATCTTGATGCTTTTAATATTTTATTTTTATCACTACAACTACATAAATCTTTTTTTTTTTTTTAGGCAAGGCAACCCTTGGTTGACCTCACAGATTGCAAGGATCTTGTCAGCTTACAATCCCTTATTTTTAAATTTTTTTTATGCCTACGGCACCTGGTCTTCCTAGGTGGTCTCCCATCCAAGTACTAACCAGGGCCAACCCTGCTTAGCTTCTGAGATCAGACAGGATCCGGCTCATTCAGGGTGGCACGGCCGTAGACTCACTACAACTACATAAATCTTGATGGCTTCTTTTAGTCATTCTGTTCTTTCTGTACTTCAAGTATTTCATTTTGAAACTGATTTTTATCACAAAAATGGCATGTGCTTAAGCAAGGCACAGGTGAGCAAAGTAAAAGTGAAGGTGGCCTCTTTGCCGTTCCTCCCAATCCATCACTAAAGGTGGAAACTATGAGTTCCTTTCTGTCCTTTCTTTGAGCTGCCAATGGCTTTGCTTACCAAGTCCCGATGTATGAACTGGTGGCTCTCCAAAAAGGCCATGCCTTCGCAAACATCATAGCACATTTCCAAGAGCTGGGAGGGTTCAAGACCTCTTCCATGACTCTTCAGGTAATTAAGCAAGCAGCCATTGGTTATATATTCAGTCACTATGTATATAGGGTATCTCTTTGAGCACACTCCATAGAATTTCACCAGCTTGGGATGGTTGAGTTTCCTGGGAACAACAGATTTTCAAAGTTCAGTATTGAATTTCCACACTCCATTTTCCAGATGCCCTGAAAAAGAATCATGGGCAGATTTTTGTTCGTTTTACTATCAGAGGAGAGGAAAATGTTTTGGATATATTCTGGGAGTATTAGCCTTTGGAGATAAGGAATGCTTCTTCATGTTGGACATCAACAACCCCAGCAGAAATTTAGCAGTTGTGGGTGCTGTGTTCGACTTTCCTGCAGAGAATCAGGGAAGCAAGGGTCTGGTGCCTTGGAAATCCCATTGAGTCTCATGGCATCTTGAGAACTTCCAAGACTATTTGGAGGGAGCTACAACCTAAGAGCCCTCGCTTCCATTTTAAAACATCTAACTTTCATATCTAAATATTTCATTCTAAAAAAAACATCAGGTCAGAAAATGAAGAGTGTAGGTAAAATGGAAATGCCATGTTAGGAAAATGAGATTAGGCATAATTTTTCTTGCTTTTTTTTTTTTTAAACCCTCATTTTACATTATTGTTATGTTATTTTTCCAATAATATATTTAGAAAATAGTAACCACATGGTATAGCACTTCTGGTAGTTCATGATGGATGGACAGTCAGCTGTTACGATATTCATCAGCTTGTCATTACATAATATCTAGTCTTATCGATTTACAGGATGATTCTTTAGTGTTCAGATGTGTGAAAGAAATCTAAATTTAACATGTCAACTTTTCAATTTTTTAATAATTGAGGACTTATTAAATACTTAGTTATTTTCTTTCTCCTTGGTTTAACCATGCAGGCATGCCTTATCGTGTTACTCAGGGCAATGAGCCCAGCTTCGCATCTATCAGCAACTGTAGGGACCTGCATTGCACTCAGCAGTGCTCCGTTCAGAGGGAAGGCTTGGAGTGAGACAAAGATCTATCACCCAACAAAAGCTGTTCCTTGAGCAAATTTTGTCCCTGACCAGAGGGGCACTTGGTGGGAACAGTATGTCAACTGGTACTCCCCATTTAACAGGCCTCAGTTTGACTGTTCTATGTGGGATTTAACATTCCCCTTATGTTACAGTTTGACCTCTTTCTTTATTACTAGGTGATTTGTTACTGACTTTTATGATTCTGTATGATTATAAGCCCCTCTATTCGTAAAAAAAATATGTTTTAAAGTTTCACTAGGACACGGGGGTTACACTATGAGCCTAAGGGAGTTTCTCTCAGATTTTTCTGTCCTACAAAAGTTGGACATCAAGGGCCCCCTCCCAAGTTTTATGACAGTTCACTTGTCAAAAGCAGAATGGGCTACATACTTTGCAAGAACTGGTGGAAAATGAAAATGCAGGAATTCTCGTTTAGGAATGATTAAGGATTTCAAGATGGTGATACCAGGGCATTAAACCAAGCGTGGAGTCCTTCTAAGTGTGGGGCCCCTCAAGGCTGTGCGGGTTGCACACACGTGAAGCCAGCCCTAGCCAAAGGCTTATAGTCACATAGTCCCTCTGCTTCAAACGTTTCTGCAACTGTGGTAAGAATGATTGTTCGGACTTTCCTGGTGCCTTTGGTCTTCATAAAGGAGTGACTAAGGAAGTGGACACTGGAATGTGTGCCTGGCTCTGCATTTCTGTTCTGCCACTTTTACCAGCGTGGTGACCATGGGCAGGTCATTTAACATTTCTGTGCTTCGGTTTCCTAGAAAACAAAGGTGACAATGGTACAGCCCTCACAGGCTTCTTCTGAGACTCAAACGTGTTCGTATTTATAAAGTGCTCAGAGAGGTGAGTGTAAACACAATGTAAATGTTTAAGTAAAATTTGTAAAAGGCTTATTACTCTGTAGCAGGCTAGAATTTGTGATTTCAACTGTCTTTGACTGAAGTCCGGCTATAATATTGTTTTGCATACCATGTCGATTGGTCCCCTAAAAGTAGAGTGACCAGCTGCCTCAGTTTGCCTGAGACTGCGGGGTTTCCTGGGACACAGGACTCTCAGCACAAACCCAGGAAAGTCCCAGGCAAACCTGATGGTTGGTCACCCTTCAAAATCTGATTCGCCATGTTGACAAGAAGAGGTAGACTCTTTAAAATAATTCTTTGTGGACTTTGAGCCATACTTCTCTTGCTCAGGCCTGTTTCCACGTCTGAAAGTGTACTATTGCTTCTAATAAAGCTTTTCTTTTCTGCTGAAAAAAAAAATAATTCTTTGTACTTACCTAGATATGAGAGAGAGAGAGAGAGAGAGAGAGAGAGAGAGAGAGAGAGAGAGAGACAGAGAGAGAGAGAGAGAGAGAGAGAGAGAAGGAGAGGAGAGGAGAGAACACATATGTATTGCCAAGAATTAAGAACTGTGCTTAGGACTGAGGCCTGTTAGGAAGGGTATCTTCGTTACCAGTGAGGAAAGAATAAGGTAAATTGGGCATGTGCTTTACAAGGCCCCACTGTGTTCCTCGTTCCACCATGTACCTCCCCACAAGGCAGGAAGGCCAGAGGGCCGAGAAGACGTGTCCACTCAGAACCCATACATCCTTTCTCTATCACTCTTGGGGTACGAGGACTCTGGAACCCCTGTCTGTATAGTTCTGAGGCCTCTTCCAGGACCCATGTAGATTCTTTTTGGGTCTCTTCCCCCAAGAGTGAGCCATGCTGTTGGTGCACCTGCCCCAAATCAAAATCATCAGCCAATATAGATAGTTGTTTGTGGGAGACATAGAGGCTGCTTGGATGTACTGAATGCTGTGTCTGCACATTTGAACTGAGTATAGTGCAGGACAGAGCAGGGGGTGGAAGTGGGAAGGGGCAGGGTGGAGTTCGTGGGGGCCTTGGGCCAGAGACTGGTTTCTCTAAAGACTCTGGAGAATTTTAAATTCAAATATGGCCTTTCAGTTTGTCACGAAGGTATATCGGTCAAAGTAGGAGCACAGAACCAATTTTATTTACTAGCGCATTAGCTTGATTTATAACTTCTAAGTGTTTATATCTGTGATATGCAGACTCTTCCTTCAGTCCTTGCAAATGTTACAGACAGGCCCATTAGCATGAACATCCTCCCATGGTGACGGCTAAACTGCCATTACTTGGAAGAAACTTACATCATGGTCTGGGCCTCCTGGAAAAATTCATCTTCTGACATGGAGCCCTCCTTGATCATCTTAATGGCAACATCATACTGCCCCTTCCACTTGCCCAGATGGACCACTCCAAACTGGCCACTTCCCAGCTCCTTCAACAGCGTAATCTCTTCTCTTTTCAGTTCCCAGATTCCTAATAAGGTAAGACAGACACTCTTTAGGATGAGAATATAAAACTTTGGGGCTAACAGCTTCCCAAGCGATTTTGTCTCCAAAGGGAGTTTCACATTGATAATATGAAGAAGAGCAAGACTTTTTATTTTAAGTTGATCACTTAAAAAAAAAAACCCTTAGTGACATGGTCTTATAACCTATTAAACCACATGATAATGCCGCTAGGACGATATTGGTCTTGAAGCAGCTACAGTTATTGATAGGAAGCTCAGAGTATAAACACTTTGCCAACCAGAGGCATCTTAGATGTGGCATCAAAATGTGCTCGATGCCCTTTAGCTTGGTAAAATATCATTACGTTTTATAAAACAAATTGTGATCTGGATGGATGTCATTATCCTAAATACGCAACGTTGCAAACTGGCTCCCCTGAGCAGGCACAGAATCCCAGAAGAAGAAAGAAAGGGTAGGCAATGGGGTTCTAGTGACCGATGATTGGGTCTAATGAGAGGAAAGATTTGACACTCTTTTTGGTAACGCTGGAGAGATAACAGAGTTAATTTGGGAAGACAGAAAAGGCTTTTGTTTTTTATTATTTGTTTTTAGAAAATGAATAAATATATTAGAGCTGAAGCCCTCCCTGTCACAATCTGAGCAGGGACTGCCTTCCTGTCTTCCCTCTTTTTTTCAATAAATTAACCATATATGCATATTTTAACCAAAAATGTGGGAAATAGATCTTAAGAGACCAAGGGTGTATTCATACCACTTCCCAAGGACACGGAGATGGGAACCTTGTTGGCCTTGGTTGACACAGGGTGGCGGAGTCGTGTGATCATGCCTGCAATGGAATCAGCATCATAGTATCACATCATCACATCATACCACATCACATCACATCGCGTCACATTGGTTCACACCTCTGCTTATGTTCCCTCCAGAGTGGCTGAAAAAGCAGAGTTCAGGATGTTGAGGTGCAGAGAGGGAATTCATTCTGACCGTAGTCATCCCATACTTGTATTAATTTGCCTGACTTGACTAACTCAATGTCAAGCAAAAATTCAAGAGTAAAACCGCTTTATGTGACTTTTGAAAATACGTCAAAGTTAGTTGCTTGGTGGAATCTTTCGTTTAAAAAATTTTCCATTTTTATTTTGCTATCTTTTTATAGTCCTATATTTAAATACGTATACACACAGCACATACAGTTGGTAAAGAATCCAAATAGTACAGAAGGGTACAAAATAAAAAGTAAACCACTTGCATTTTAAAAAATTAAACCTATTACTAAATTGCATTAATGGTCAAGTCATTTTAAGTGTTTACGTCACGGTAAAGCTGGGTTAAAATAATCAAGGTATTTATAGCAGCTTGAAAGAACACATTCAAAAAATTGTTTTTTGCTTTAAATGTGTGACATTTTCCAAGTCCTGAGAACTATCACACGTGTCCTTTTCCTCTCCTTCATCTTTCTATGTTATTTATTTACTTTTTGTGTGAGTGGTATCCAAATGTTTTAAATCGTGCACCTTTAATTGGCAAAAAAATTTAGTTCACTCTTCCAAAATATATGTACAATTGCTGCTGTATTGATATATTATGTGAATCATAAAATGTAGTCACAAAGAGAAAACATAAGAGAATTAGGTTTAAAAAAACAAATAGAAATAAACATTTTACTGTTTTCTTCTTACTCTGTGGAGTTGCTTGTGCATTCTCTGGAGGGGAGTCATTCCACTTGGAGATGTCTTTCCAAGGGATACTTTTGAGGTACTACAGGTTAAACTAAACAATTATGAAATGAGGACGAAGGAAAAATACAAGTAGGAATCAAAATCAAAGCCAGGAGTGAGGCCATTTCCCTTATGTGGACATAATCAGCTTAGGTAGAGTCGTGCAGATTGTACACTGAGCCCACAGCTTATTTTTTCTCGCTCTTGGAATTCATCCAGTCACTGCTCGTAAGTGGCACTAGTCTAGAAAAGACACTTAGGGTGGCTTTCTCTTTTTAAAACTTTTTTCTACATTTAGTGAGACGTTATTGACATGTAACCTATATAACTTTAAGGTGTACGACACGATGATGTGATACGTGTATGCAAAATGCTTACTGTAATGAGATGAGTTAATATTTCCATAAGGAGGGATTTCTATACACACTTTTGCCAATTAGGCAAAGTTTAAAAAGAGAAATAGTACCCAGTGTTGGTGAGGATGAAGAAACTTGCTCTTGGTGGGAGTGTACATTTCTGAAAAGCTTTTGATGATGTCAGAATTTCAAATGTTCTTAACCATTATCTCAGGAAAGCCATCTCTAGGGAATTGGGCTACAGAAACACTCATGCAGGTGCACAGAGCCATGTGTGCAGGACTGTGCATTGAAACAGTAATTGTGATGGGAAAACATTGTAAATGATCCTACTGCTAATCAATACAAGGTTAGGTGAATAAATTATGGAATAATTCTGTAAGAGAATTCTCAATAGACCAAAGTAAGCTGTACATATTTGCATGGAAAGACTTCTAAGACACATTGAGTAAGGGAAACAAGCTGAAAAGTAGTATGTGTAGAATGATCTCAGTAAAAATATCACGTGTGCGTGCGTGTGTGTGTATAATGGATAATAAGTGTTACTATCAGCATAGAAGATAATTCTGTCAGAGCAGACACCAACTCATATATCACTGGAGAGAGAACCTCCATGGACATTTCTATAATGTCTAAATTTTGCAATCAACTTCTATAGGCAGGAAAAAACCCGCAAATATTTTTATAAAGAGAATCTCTACTTCTAAGTCACTCAACTCAATTTTTTTTTCTGACATTATAGAGTGTATAATGTTATACTTCAGGAAATGTAGGTTAAAAATCACAGTAGGCTTAGGGCTTGAGAGCATTTTTTTTCTTACTTTCACGTCTCTCCATATAATTAAGGATATTAGGGGGATCGATAGTATCCAAGAAAATTGATATTTATCAGCAAAGATCCATAAAAGAAGAAGTGAAATAAATTACCTGCTGAATTGTGTTGATGATAGTGAATAAGCTTTGGAATGTCATCAAAACAGTAGTTTTCTGCCAGGTACAATTTGTTCTCAGCATTTGTATGCACGTGGTAATGTTTGATAGTTCCTTTCTTATCACTATTAAGGAAAAAAGAATGTGAGAATGTTTTAAACAATTGAAGCTTGATTAAACAATGGTTAAATAATTCGGTGCATTTGGAAATTTTGGAGAGGGAAGTCAGGGAAGTTTTCTCAGTCTTGCCATCTGGTGTTTTCTGGAGGTATCCATGACAGTCAGTAATTATGGAAGAGGGCTCTTCTCTGAATTCAGCTTACCTTTTGTGCACATACAGAATTCATGTACAATAAAATTCCAACTTTCTAGACTGTTCTTCGTACACATAAAGCTGGAACATTCCTCTGATGATTGAGAGCCCTGCAGTTCTTCAGGATGATTATCCTGAAAATCAATTCCTTTTCAGGATGATAAGGAAGATTAAAATGTAGAAGGCAAAGGTGATTATGCCGTGGGTGTTCTCACCCACAGCGTGGGTAGGAGGCTCTCTGTGTGTGGAGGAGGCAGGATAGAGTGGGTGGGGCTGTCCTTTAATCCCTCATGTGAACTTGTACCTTTCCACATAAAACATTTTTTTTTCTTTTGCTCTACATTTAGAATATAGTGGTGAATTGATGCACATTGACTTAGGTTAATCAACAATAATATGCTTGTCTTCGATTTGAGAGTATGGCACAGTGGTCAAAAATTGGGCTTTGAGTCCAGTTCTACTGCTTGCTAGCTACCTCATTTGGTTGTTACAAAGATAGAGAGAGAGAGAGAGAGAGAATTTGCACTGTGCTTGGCACATAAAACACTTAAAAATAAATTGCTGTTATGCCAGCTTAGTTAAAATTGCAGTTATAAAAGGAAAGGGCGCTATCTTGTTGCAAATGGCTAATCAGCTCTTGGTCTCAGCACGAAATTCACTCAAGCCCATCAATGCAGTTTCATAATACAAGGCTTCTGTACTCATTGATTTGGATTTCTTTTTTTTGATTCCTTATCCATTTGCTGATTTTTCTACCTGGCCACCTTCCAAAAGGAATCTGGTGTCAAGAAGCTTGACTAGAACTTCTGATATCAGGTTTGGCTGAAACTGCAGGGCCAGAGATTTTTATATTTAGTGAACCAAGTCTTCTCCCGGTTCTTACGGGGCTGGATTCAGCCAGCATCTAGATATGCAACCTAGTACATGAGATGCACTGGGGATGTGGCTTCTGGCATTAGAAAATGCCAGGTGACTGATTAGAGTATATCCTATTCAAATCGGAGGTAGGTACTCTATAAAAAAATCCTCAAAATAACTTTTTAATCACTTAATTATTACAAATATATATATATACACACACATACATACACACCACAGGGCAGGGCACATGGAAAAGGCACCAAGGCAGAAGATCATTCACTCCAACCATTAAAAGAGCATTGCACACACACAAAAATATATATCTTTTTCAAATGGCCCTAATCAAGATTTGGCCAGATTCTTATTCCAAAATATTGGGGGTTTCAGTGTAGACACAGGAGTGTGGTTGAAGGAACATGAACTTGGCTGTTGAAGGCCCAGATTCAAGTGAGTCATTTATTAACTTTGTGGGTGGGTCTTCATCAACTCTCTTTGAACTTCAATCTCCTCATTTGTAAAATGGTGCAAATAAAAACAACTTTCTATTTGCTTCTCAGGATGATTAGAATGAACAAAAGAGCTAACAGCTAATGTGAGGGTGGCTTGTAAAACTCTGATGGGGGATCCTGATGTTGGTAACGTTGACTTGTTGTTGACTCTCATGCGACGACTGTGGGGGTCTTGCGTGCCCAAGTGTTCAGATAGGGGTAGTAGAGCAGGTAGAATTACTGTCTCCCAACAACAACAATAGTAATTGCTATTAATTTATTAAGTGCTTACTGTGTGCCAGGTATTGTTCTGATCCAATATGTGAATTCACTTATTTTATCCATAGAACGTAATAATCGTTACTGTGTCCCCTTTTCAAATGAGGAAGTTGATGCACAGAGGTTAAGAAACTTGCTCAATGCCATAAAGCTTTGTAAATGGTAAAGTCAGGATTTGGACCCAAAAGTGTAGCTTCAAATCAGAACTCTTAACAACGTAGAGGACAGCACCTTAGAAAGAAGCTATCGAGGCAACACAGCTACACTTATTCAATTTTCTGCTAACTCTGGTCTGACGAGAAGATACAGTAGGTTTTCCAGCTCAGCAGGTGGCAAAGGCCCAGAGGGTAGAGGCCCCAATGCTATTTCTCTTTTTCTAGGTTTAGGACTGAATTGAGGGGAATGACCTAGGATTCCTTTAACAAGCATTCACCGAGGCGTGCTGTGCCCTGGGCACTCAGCGGCTGCCTGGGATGGGCTTGAGAGAATCACTTGAGAACAGCCTCTTGGAAGTAGCGGGGAAAAGGCCACTACAAACGGTCGTATTCAACAGAAATATTTTGATCCAAAATTCCAGAGTTTAAAGATGGCGTCTTATCCCAAAACATGACTAAATTAGTAGCATACTCAAAGAATACACAAGAAGATAAAATGAAATCCGTTTCATACTTACTTCACAGCCTTACTAAATAAGGACACTGTGTACATTCCCACTTGGCTAGAATTTCTAACCATAAATGCTCCTTCTTTTCCCTGAAAAGGAAGGAAAATGTGAAAGGAACAGAAAATATTTTCATTATCTTTGAAAATTATTTTTTCTGGTAGGTGGTAGGAAAATAGATCTTTTAGATTCACTTGAAATCTCATTGATGGTAGAGATTATCCAACAGTTGACACAGAAGGGGACCTACAGTTGAGCTTTCTTTCTTTTCTCACTATTTCTTTATAGATTAATCCCGTATGCTTCAACCATTCCTCTCCAGTAGATTTTTAACCCTCTCTGATAATTTTCTCTTTTATATTTGTGCAAGCCTAATGTTTTAATCTTTCAGAAAGAAAATTTAAAACCACATATCATCATATCATGCTCATGGAAGGGTTTTAGAAAACCTAAGATGCAGAACAAATTGTTAAAGTTCTGTGCTCAACTTGTCTGCCTTAATGTCTTCTTTAAATCTTTCTTAATATCTTGTGCTAATTCTAAGCAGATCCAGATTCAAAAAGAGCATATAATAAATTAGGAATGTGGGAAAACTCTGAGTTAGTTAGTGAAGTCATCACATGTTCACTAATACCCCTCAAAGAGATAATTGGTTTGTTTTATTAGGTTGAACTATACCAAAGTGTCATTTTGTAGGCCAAAAGAGTTTGCTATTGATAATTCTATACCAATTAATAACAGAGTCATGTGGATTTATTCCCTAGTACATCTAATTTATTCTGGTTTAGGTGCCAGCGAGCAACGACAGAGCTAAGGTAGACTGTTGACATAGATGACCCCAATAAATCACCTCTCTGTAGTCAGTCCCCTCTCACACTGACTCTGGGCTGGGCCATGTGACTTGCTTTGGCTAATGGGACATTAGCAAACATGATAAAAGCAGAGACTCCATAACTGCTTGCACTGAACTTCAGGGCTCATCCTCTTCACCCCTCGCCTTGATACTACACTTGACCTTAAGCCAAAAATCTTGCCTGAGATGACCATGTTGTGAGAAAGTCCAAGTTAGCCCCATGGAAAAGAATGATGGCACCCAGGTGACTGCCTCAGCTAAACCCAATCGCCCCGTGACTGCATCCACCAGCTAAATGCAGCCCCATGAGTGGCCCTAAACAAAATCTGAAGGAGAACCGCCGGGCCAGCTGACTCACAGAATTGTGAGAAATCATAAATCTCGTTGTTTTAAGCCACTAAAATTTGAAGTGGTTTATTACCCAGCAATAGATAACAGAAAGAGAGGAAGTGGCTATATTTGAAGGGCCTGGTAAGCCTTAGGCTAGACTACCAACACCATGATGATGTAACTGTATACTTAGCAATAAGGTTTTTCTAAGAAGTTCATTACCCTCTGAGCCCAACAATAGAAAGATTCTTAGAGGCTACGGTAGAGAGCAGACTATTTACCTTTTGTCTCAGTAATTGCTCAGACTGTGACCTGGAGATGTTACCCGCAAACCAGCTGCAATAGGAAAGAATTCCACATGTGAGAGTTAATTTTTTTGTTTGTTTTGAGAGTTAGTAATTTTTAATTGCATGACTTGTCACTTAGTTTTCTAACTTGTAAAATGAGGCATTAGCCTAGATCAGGGGTTTCTACACCTGACTGTTCCAGAGAATCACCTGAGGAGCTTTACAAAAATACAGATTCCTGAGTCTCTATCACCCAATTATGATTCTGGCGTGGGGTCTGCATATCTGTATTTTTAAATAGGCTGGCATTTAGGAACCTTTGGCTTCCTTCTAGGTGATCTCTAAATTCTCCAACATTTCATCATTTTGAATGAGAGCCAGACATTAGATCAATGAAGTTTATTCCAGTGGATAAATTGGGGTTGTCAAGGATGAAAGTTCCTTCGTTTCAACCTTAGAATTTTCTTTTAATAATCCAATGGAAGCATGCATTATAGCATCTATTTTCAAAGCAAACGCTTTTCAAAAAAATATTTTTATTTGCAGGATAGCAATAGATAAGCATCTATGGTTATGTTAAGGTAGGGACAGTTGTAGTGAACTGAGAAAAAGATGATGTGAGATAGCCAGGTATAATCTTTATTTATTTATCTATCTATCTATTATTTTTAGGTCTATAGCACCTGGTCTTCCTAGGTGGTCTCCCATCCAAGTACTAACCAGGCCCGACCCTGCTTAGCTTCAGAAATCAGACGGGATCAGGCTTGTTCAGGGTGGCATGGCCGTAGACTATCATCTTTAAATATAGCCCTTTTTATTAAGTTAGCCAAGAACATCACATTTTAATTTTCATGGGAAGCTCAACAGGTCACAGAGCTGTTTCTCATGTGAGATCAACGATATCCGTAGCCTTTGGGTTTGGGCCAAAATATCATTCTAAGGAAATGAACAGGGTGGGAGGTGGGATGGGGCATGGGTTTGGGGGCTTGGGAGGATCCTCTGGCTAGAAGATAACACCTGAGGACGAAAGAAGTACGCGAGGAAAGTGAGGGTGATTTAGATGGGGGGGAGGGGGGCAGTTCAATGAAGTGGAAAGAGCCTTAGATGTGCCAGCTTGGAGTTCTGGGTTCTAGACATAACTCGTAATGAGTAGTTGCGTGGCTTTGGACAGGCCATTTAGTCTCTCTTAACCATGGAATTCTGCATTTGTAAAATTAGGCTTAAACTTGATAAGTTTGAAAGTCTCTTCTAACTCTACTCTTAGAGAGGCTATGTAATTAACACTTGAGATATTAACTCTTATTAGTTAATATTTTAAGCTAATCATAGCTAATCAAAATACTCTTTCAGAAAATATGATCCAGGATACGAGCCTATGGGATATAGAAGAAAGGGATGATCAGAAATAAGGAGAAAGGCCTGGTGAGGTGAGGTGAGATTGTGTGTAACCCGCCCCCCCCACACACACACTCACAAACATTGTGTTTGTATCATAATTTTGTTGAGACCCGGCTCTGTTTGTTTTAAAAAAAAATATTTCAGCATTTCAATGTCAGAGTAGCAGAGGCTTAGGCCTAGTCCTAACACATAATTTTCCATCTAAACCTCGGTGCCTCATTCTTTAATGGAATGGAGTAGGGTTGCTCATGAATTTATGGCCATAAAACAGATGCTTCAGCAACATTGATAGAGCAGGAAGCTGGAGGCACCAAGCATGGTGTGTGGATGCTGAGCTTCAGATCATGTAGCCTTCTGGTCCTGACCTCTTTGATTTTAAGGAGGTGGGTCTTTCTTGATCATTTGCCCCAATGCACAGCTCTCACACACCATTGAAATCTAGAAATGATGGAGACACAGACTGTCTATATGGTCAGATCTGGGTTTTCGGAGCCAAAGAAAGATTTCCAGTCCATCTAAATGCTAAAGACTAAAATCCATGATTAGGTGTTCACTTCTGTTGGTTTAAGTCTTTGTCATTAGTTAAAGTGTAATTCTTTTCGGATAATTTTGGTGCTGGTCTGAGTCTTTTATGTCTTCATCCTAAGGGTTGGTGTTGGGGAAGAAGATAGGGCTAAAGGGAAGCTAGAGAGTGGCGAAGGGACCACGCTGCAGAGGGGCGGAAGGTACAGCACATCTCTATCAATGTGACAGGTATGCCTAAGGGCTGGGCTGGGTTAGAAAGAAGAAGAGGAAGAATCAAAACAGAGACATGTTAAAAGTGAGAGCTTTTTAGAAGCTCTCATTGCACTTAGAGACAATGAATTAATAACAACACTCGTACAACAACAGAACTGGAAATACACATCATCTTAGTGTTCAAGCGAATTGGTCGCCGTTGGGTAACAGGTGTCTGAGAGGAGCTGCATGGCCTACTGCTCCCGCCTCTCCTTAATACCAGCTTCAGGAGGTTTATTCGTCCTTGTTTGTAGAACGATAGAATCTTAGATGTTGGAAAGGACCTTAACAACCACTTAGACCAGCCTGTGTCAAAACAGTTGGGGTGATCACACATTCTTATTTGCCTAGAAGAGTCCAGTTTATGCCTCGTGTCCAGGTGTAATATTTAATAGCATGCTCTTTCTCTAAAGTGTTGTAATTTGTATGTTAAATGCTAAGGTCACCCTAGGAACAGAAATCTTTCAACATAAATGCTGTCATGTTCAAGTCTCAGTTATGCTCTCTTGTACAATTGCTGCATATAAATAAGTTCAAAAATGGAACTGAATACTAATAAAAGCCTTCAAACATCACCCTGGTGAGAAGCCTTTAGGAAAGAAATAATCAGCAGAAATATCATATGCTGTATCTATGAAGACAAAGTAAAGAGATAAATCTAATGAATATGTGCAGTTAATTTAGATAGTCCAGACTGAGAACAAATATTTTCATTAGTAACAACCCAGCTCATTGTCATCCTTCATCCAGATAAATAGCCCAGAACCTTACATGAGTTTACCCATGTAATACATCCTCCTGAGCAAGTCTGAGCCATCTGTTTTGATGCTTTTAGAGCAGAATAGAAACATCTATGTCTAGTTTTAGAGGAACACAGAGGGCTTTAAAAACTCACTCATAGTCATCCAGGTTTTCCTCTTCTTCAGATGAACTCGACTCGGGGAATCCCCTGAAGAAGAGAAGAAACAATAGAAATACAAAAACCACCAAGAAATAATGCAAATACCTAGCAGTGTGATATCACATCCCACCATGCTTTCATCCCGTAAGTAAAATTTAGATGTTAGGTTTCTCTTTTTGAACTTGGGAAGGTATCAGCAAAGTAAAGAGAGAATCACTCAAAAGTTAAGTTCATGCCCCGTTTTATGATAAACTGGCTGTTTGATAAAAGAAGTCCCCAGGAGGCTCCCAGGAATGTGTATTTCTCTGAGTGTCTCAGAAGACCGGGCTCATGAAATAGATGAAGATGCCTTCAGGGACAGCTGTAGAATAAAGTTTAAAAAATATCAGGTTGTATACAGTTATTCTTAGAGTTATTCAACTGAGGTTGTTTTTCTTCCTGTTAGATGTGCCTGAGCTAGGTAGATTAATGTCCATG